TTCAATCTTCCTTGGCTGACCTCAAGGCATCCACTGCTCAACTTGTGGGCATCATTGCCGGCGCCCGGCACATCCCGGCCGGCTCAGTGGACGTCCACCTTGCTCTGACAAAGCAGGTCACCACTCTTTTGGTATGTTGAACTCATTACATTAGTGTAACATTAATGTTTCTAATGTCCGGGCAGGCTGACATCATCCGGGCCTATGAGAAAGGGGAATACATCCCTGGAATTGTGGTGTCCTGCTCCAAGGAGCTGATGAGGGTGCGTTCCATGACTCCCTGGGCATTGCCCAACTGGTTCAGCATTGGCCATGATGACCCCCGGGTGGCTAGACACACCTGGCGCAAGCAAGTCTGTGCCTGGGAGGCATTGGGTGACAATTCCTGTGATCTCCCTGTTGTCCCTAACGTTTCCACTGGCCCACTGACTGTCAACCTTCCGTCTCCACCTGTCCCTTCACCTGCACCTGTCCCTTCCCCCACCCCTGTCATTCCCTCACCTCCGGTCATCGCTGGACCTTCCGGCAAGATGACCCCTGAGGTCCGGGACAAAGGAAAAGGTAAGGCCACCTCCATCGATCTGGAGCCGGAAGTTGGGGGGAGCAACAAAAGGAAGTCTCCGATGATTTCCGGATACTCCTCCAAACCTCCAAAGTCAGCGATGAAGGCACGCAAGCGTGTCAACTCAACTCAACTCCCGAAGTCGAAGCCGTTTGTGGAGTCGGAAGATTATGAAGACCCAATTGTTCAGGTATGTGTTCTGGCTTATTTGTGACATGCTCTCAATTTGTTGCAGCTGATTTCATGTGGAGTGCCGGAGGTCGTCCTTCCCCAGCGCTCCACCATTGTTGTAAGGAAGCCCCAGTCACCTCGGTCACCTGGTTCCCCCAAGAAGCAATCATTTGGGCCTGCTTCGGTAAGTCTGATTTATCCATTTGGACCTTAAATATATGCTCATGTGTCCACAGCTGACTGCCAGCAGTCATCTGGAGGTCACGGTGAGTCGTTCAGACGTGTCCAGACCTCCCATGTATAATTGTCACTCATTCCCATTACATTAGAAATCTCCCATCGGTCATCCGGAGGCTCGGGTAAGTCTTAGAAGCTCTCCAGAAACTCATATGTATATTAACAATCCGTCAGGCAACCTCCGGCAGTCGTCCGGAAGTCGAGGAGCCCTCTGAAGATACTTCCAATGCTTCGGATGGTGACCCACCAGCCAATATTACATTTGATATCACCATTCCTGGCCCAGTGAGTACTCCAATTAATTCCCCTTCATCCATCTACTAACGGATATCACAGAACAACCCCTGCCATTATTGTATCAAGGACAATTGGCCCTGTGCGACTCGTTTGGACAAGAGGACCAGTCTCCCCTGCTTGTCTTGCATCCACTGCTCCACCAAGAAGATCAAATGCAACCCTGCATCTCTGGGATCCCCACCCAAACGGATCCAAGGGAAGTCTACCACCGGCCAGACGTGTTCCAAGACACCTGCCCCTGCTCCATCCAATGCTCTGTCTCCCTCCCGGTCAAGGGCCCGAACTCATAGTCAATCTCGTGGCCCGTCCCAACCTCCGGCCATCCCTGCTGCAACTACACCCCAGGTGCAGTCACATGGTTGCAGCAAGACCATCACTACCAAGAAGACACCTGCACCTGCACCTGTCCCTGAACCTGTCCCTGCACCTGCGCCAGCTGGTAAGTCACCCATACTTTTGATGACCGGCTGACCTAATTTTTTACTTAGCAGTCAGGTCTTCCAGTGTCGCAGTGCCTCGTGCAGCACTCGATGTTCCCATGCCAGATCTCCATTCCATGGCAATCGTGATTCAGGATAGTGCAGCTCGCATCGCAATTCTTGAGGCTCGGGTGCAGGAGCAGGACACTAAGATTGATACCCTGCAATGCCTCCATGAGAGCCTCCGGCGCATGATGATCAACCAGCACCCTTCATTTTCACTTCCGGACACACCAGCCGATGGATTAATGTTGCTTGATCAAGGAGGTCCCCCCCGTCCATGTCACCCCTCCCCTCCACACTTTCCAACCTCATTGATTTGGACTATTCCGTGATGGAACCCACACCTGTGATGCCTGAGCATGGATCTGCTATGGTAGGTCCCATGGTTGAGCCCACCCAAGTTCAGCCTGAGGGTCCACAATCCTCCGGGAAAATTGTGCTCCCAGATGAACCAGGCAACCTCTCGCCAGAATCCTCCGGCGATATTGTGGTCCCTAATGAACCAGGTAACCTCCTGCCAGAATATGCTTCCTCTGATGAGGAGATGGATGTTGAGGGAAAGGTTGATCTTCCTGGTGAGGAGGTTGAAATGGCTACATAATTGCTCAGTGATAGATGTACATCAATCTTTTTCAATGCATGTTACCTATGCCACAATTGAATGGTTCAATGATCACTCCCGATGTAGAGAATCATGCCTCTCATGGCGCGATATGGTAGTTTTCACCAAGGAGTATACAGCACGAACTCATAGCATTACTCTGTGCGCTACCCGCAGCTATCTCTATATGAGGCGCAGCTTTCCCACGCAACGCGCGCCATGCGCGCACCATTCCCGCGCTTCACGATGTATACGCGCGCGCGCGTTCCCGCGCTTGCGCGCCCTATAGCGCCAGCCATCCAGATGCATCCATCCACTGTCCACCAAGCTCCCTAGTATGTATATTTCCATTTCCTTTATTAGCATAGTTCCACCTTTATTTTTATCATAGTTTCTCACTCATATATATTTTTACATACCTACTCGGTAGCGCTTCGGCTCCGCATGAGCGCGCTTAGGCGCGCTATATAAGCGCTAGCAGTACATACTACACTGGAGCTACTTTTCCTACTTTTCACTTACTAGTTACTACCCACTTACTACTTAGCAGAATATAGTAGAAAGCTATTCCTTTACATTTTGCACTCTTATATCTCTTATCTTGCTTTATATCACTACTTAAGCTTAGTTTCTCATTTCCGCATACGCGCGCGCGCTTTCCCGCGCTTCGCGCTAATACGCGCGCGCGTTCCCGCGCCTTTGTACCTTGCGCACACCTGCGCTTTCTCGCGCTTCGCTTAAGCGCACACTTCTAGATCCTTGCTGCACTCACTTCCCCTATAGGGTCGAACGCACTTGCTTCTCAAGTAACGCAGACTAGGCAGCGCGCGACCTTACAACTTTTACAGATACAGTCAGGAGCTTCTTTTGTTCCTCATTGTATTGTTGTTTCTACACCGATATCCAGAACTCGAAACTATAGATTGAGGTAGATATCACCCAAACACCCAAACACCCGAATGTCAAATTCTCAGTGCCGAACCCTGAGTCCTGGGTGCTGGGTGCCAAGTCCCAAAATTCGGAACTCAGGATTTGACATTTGAGACAAACGACATCTCTCAGACAATGTTTAAATCAACCTACGTATATCTGTAAACATTTTACTAACCCCCAAACCCCAAACCGAGATGTACTAACCCCCGAATCCCAAAACCCGAGACTGCCGGGTCTTGGGTTTCGGGGTTCGGGGGTCCCGGAACTCGGAACACGGGAAATTTGGGGAGATCAATAAAATTTGATTTACAATGGAGTTTATAGACAAACACATTGACTTACCCATGTTTGAAATATATTTTGTTTACACATACCGAGTTCTGAGTTCTGGACCCCCGAACCCCGAAACTCGAGACCTGGCAGTCTCAGGTTTCGGGGGTCCAGAACTCAGAACTTGTGAAAATTTGGGGGGATCAATAAACTTTGATTTACAATGGAGTTTATTGACAAACACATTGACTTACCCATGTTTGAAATATATTTTGTTTACACATACCGAGTTCCAAGTTCCGAGTTCTGGACCCCGAGACTGCCGGGTCTTGGATTTCGGGGTTCAGGGGTCTGGAACTCGGAACTCGGTATGTGTAAACAAAATATATTTCAAACATGGGTAAGTCAATGTGTTTGTCAATAAACTCCATTGTAAATCAAATTTTATTGATCTCCCCAAATTTCCCGAGTTCCGAGTTCCGGGACCCCCGCACCCCGAAACCTGAGACCCGGCAGTCTCGGGTTTTGGGATTCGGGGGTTGGTACATCTCAGTTTGGGGTTTGGCACTGAAAATTTGACATATATATTTTTGTGAGTGTTGTGCTTCTGGTGTCCATGCTTATAAATAGGATATGTTGCACACCAGGGTTCAGGTGTGGGGTTTTTCCACTTCAGTCCTCGATTATTGGTCAATGCCACACATGGTCGATTCATGTTTTTGTGCTTAGGGGTTTAGATTTGGTGGTCGACGGTAGGTATATGCACTCATAGTGTACATGTATCCTACGTGTTTGATTCGCTGGTGGCTACATCAGCTGTATGTCTTGATGGAACATATCTAGGCTCACCCATCTATGTACAATTCCCCCACATCAGCCCACCCATCTATGCATTATCCCCCACCTCGGCCCACCCATCTATGTAATACATCCTATGTTGGCCCACCCATCTATATAATTATGCCCCACCTCGGCCCACCTGTCTATGTAATAAATATTTTATCGCACCCTCGGCCCACCCGTCTATTTGATATCCCTTTCGTCGGCCCACCCGTATATGTAATACTTTTCACGTCGGCCCACTTGTATATGTAATACACCCCACGTCAGCCCACCGTCTATGTAATATTCCCCTACCTCGGCCCACCCATATATGTAATACACCCCTGTCAGCCCGCCCGTCTATATAACAATATTTGCCTTACATCTCTCTTCAGCCCAGCTGTCTATAATATCCTACTCTACATATTACCCAGATGGGCCCACCCATCTCCATGAATGATCATATTCCCCCGGCCCATCCGTCAACATCAAGGATATATATATCATTGGCATACATGGGCCCACCCGTCTCCATCGGAAATAATATGTGTCCCAGCCCATCCGTCATCATCGAGAATATACACAACATGGGCCCATGATCCGCTGGCCCGTCTCATACGGGATATTATGGAGGTCGGGTGGCCCGTATAATATGGAATTTGTCACTGAAGGGGCTTGAACCATAGATAGGTGTCAGGTGTGCTGCATGGAAGACTGTCTCAATATGAATAACAGCCAGGTTCCTTGAGCCATCCTCATGAAAACTTGGAGTGACCATCCACATGCCAGTGTCTTCATTGGGACAATCACCAATCTTCTCAAACCATTGGACAAGGGTGCATGGATATACTTCCCATCTGTGAAAGAAAGAAAAGAAACATATGACTCTCACAACTTCGAGTCTTCGCATCCCTTCAGCATGTGAATCAGCACTGATGAACACACAATCATTACACGAGTACTTGTTCCACCAGAGTGGACATGCACAGATGTGTTCATGTCATATGCCACCAAAACCGCTCGGATCACTGGGAGCATAAAACATTGCTGCAGCGGAATTGAAGACCTGAAGCTTGCCTTTGTGTCGAGGCAAGTTAAGAGCTGGTATATATTCGGGGTCGCAGGTATCATCCGGATTGAGCTGGGAGAACAGAAAGTATCAAAGGAGGCATGGTGTAGCTCTGGAACATCGACTTCCTTTGCCAATGTTGCTACTGTCTGTGCTCATTGTCGCTCTGTGTGATATAGTGGTGAACATCAAGATTGGACATTGCATGATATTACTTACGGGGAGTTTTGGCGAGTGCTACACAAGCAAGCACTGTTGGATCATTAACTATTTCATTGTCATCATCAGCATCCATTACTGGGTGCAGTTCAACGATGATGGGGGCATCTGGTTGCTGTGCAACAGCAGAGACAACTTGCTCATTTGCATCTGTTGCTGTATATTGCTGTTAAGTATGCGAGAAGATGATCACAAGAAGAAACCTAAAATGGACTTACCAATAGCAGTTAAAGTACTTGATAGAATAGTGCCAGTGAGTATTCCCCGTGCATCAAAGTCCACATGGGACACTGCAAGCTTGTCAAGGCGCTGATTGGTCACAAGCATCTGACCAAGAGCATTGTGCCTGCTTGACCACCGCCAGGGCTCCTTTACCGCCTTGATGTGTTTTGATTCTGTAATTGATGAGCACAGTCCATTCAGGGCACCAAAGAGTCTGATCATGTCCATGTTGTAACGGTTGGGTTTGGCAGTGATGGGTGCCAGGGGTCCTGCAGAGGTGTCCGAGGTCATAGATAGCACATATATAGCTCATGTCTTAGGGTTAGGTCATACACCACTTGTGAGCAGCTTTTGCTGTGTGATAGCTTTGTGAGGCTTTTGCTTGGCATTGCCTGTGCTTGCCTAGGCCTTTGCTGTTCTGGTCTTTGCTGTTCTCATGTCTTGGAGGCTTTAGACTCGTGTTGTCTGCTCTCCCGCTGGTGCCAGAGTGCACCATTCCAATGTAATGAGTCATTGAGTGCTGACAGGGGAGTGAGAAGGTAGGAACAATGATATCAAATATCTTGCGATAATAATGGAAATGATGAAGTGCATCTTGAATTTGAGTCAAGGTATCTTCAGTGACAACATTGCGCCAGACAAGATAGCAAAATTCTAGCAATGCACGAAATGCATGCACCATGTCTTGAGGTACATGACCTTCAATAGCTGGAAGGAATACCTTCATGAGCACTTTTGAATTGTCGCCCGTCCACTGTTTAAAGTTGCGACCTTGAGGAAATTGTCGTAGACCAGAGAATGATGCTACAGCAGCAATTCTGATTATTGTTAGAGAACATTATTGAGTAGTTAGTAAGGTGACATACCTGCAATCTATGTCACTCATAATCTCCTCCAACTGTCTGGTCCCATGCACAGCCTTAAAATACTTTGCTACCCAGTCGACAAGATGGTCCTTGAAAGCACCTTTAATTATCTGGTGGAGGAGGTCAAATGACAGCAGCTCATAAATATCAGCTCGAGGGAAGTTGTTGGTGAATGGCTACACAAAACATATTAGTCTGGTATGAAGAGCGGCCCGTTCTACTCACGATGAGATCATCAACAAGACCATATTTATCCCACAATATATCTGCACTTAGTTCTTCGATCAAGAAGTCATTGTGCTCACGAGAACAGTACACCCCATCACCATCAAGGTCTGTACGAACTGTGATACATCTACATGAATTGTCAGTACCAATGGATACTAATTACAAGTGCCAATACTCACTTTGGGCACCAATGTCTGACAACGCAAGATAGTACCAGTTGCTCCTCCTAATCCGCTATATAGGGTCCTAGACTATATATGATGCGTCAAAATGACCGTCTCCACAGCGCACGACCTCATACTTGGTCATAACAGGTTTTAGGCTGGAGAGAATCACGGATAGCGAACTGTGGAATAGTTGATGGTGAAACATCCAAAATACATCGTCTTTAGAGTGCTCCTTGTAGGCTATAATAGCACAGCTCAGATGAGATATAACAAAATATGAACAATACTTTTGGGTATGGCGAGGAACCCAATGATGACAAGAGCATCACGGTGCGCACGTCGTACATTGTTGTGTACATTACCGATAGAGGCATAGAGGGGATAGTATTCGTTATTACCAGTGCCCACAGAGATGGTAGTCTTGTCACTACCGAGAATGATTGGGACCAAAGCAGATCCATGTGTTTCCAGATCTTTTGATATAATGTCCTTGAAAATGTTAGCTATATCCTGAGCAATGCCAGAAAGAGATTGAAGATGTACTGCCTGTTGCCATGCCCAGTCTCTGGACATGAAATCTTTCCATCGGCACATGTCGTCCAACACATCATATTCACAAAATGGCACATGGTCAATTTTGTCCTTGTATGTAGGGTTGGCAAGTATATTGTGCGCCATTGCACGGGGGTCCCTATACCAGACCTTGAATTCATTGTTCATCCATGGTGGGACAACCTCGGGTCGTTCTCCTGAGTATTGAACAGAGAAAGATTGCCACGGGACATCCCCAAGCTCCATTGCATCTATGACACTGTGTAGATCTTTGTGATCAGCAAATGGAGGGGTGTCATGGTGTTTTGCAAGAGTCACAGCCATTAAGTTGCACAAGAAATCCAAATTTTTGCAGACATATGACATTTTTTGAATGTGAACTCTGCCACCTCAAATTCCATTCTGTTGCGATATGGACTCCAATCATTAGGAGCCTTTGGTGGCACAGGAGTTGGGTGGGTACCATGAGGCAGAAATGTTCCATCAGCAGTGCATGGTCATCCTAAGCATACATCTGAGTCAAAAACAAAGTACTGAAACTTGAAAGGAACTTACCGTTTAACATTGAATGGTACGTATGATAGTATCGCTTGCTCACATCAGTGAATTCTGCATCAGTACAGCTTTAATCCTCATGAATTGAATCAGGGAGTATGGGAGGTGGTGGCTGGGGCGGTTGTGAAAAATCTGAAGGGGGCAGTGAGAAATCTCGAGGGTAGGAAGGTGATTGGGATGGTCTGGGATCATCCTGAGGGGATGGTGATGGCTGGGGTGCCAATGGGAGGTCCTGAGGGGATGGTCTCGAGGCACATAAAGTTGGGTGAAGCTAGCGCCTGTGTTGGGTAAGACATGACTGATTTCGAAACCAACGTGCGCATCCTGGAACTGAGCATGGCAGTTGAAGTAGGTGGTGAGCGCAACAGGAATGCATAGTATGTGCTACACTGAGATGTTGCCAAGGATTTTGAAGGCTGACACATTCAAGATTTGGGGTACAACCCTAATCACCGGTATCGATGTAGCCAAACCAAAATACTAGTATATAAGGTTTAATTCAAAAATGAAGACTAGATTTGTCGGACGTGAGTAAACTACACTGAAAAGGTCCTGGTGAACATTGATGTAAACCACAATGGAAATACAGTGACAAACCTTGGTCTCACTGCACCAATAATTGAAAATTAGTGTACTATCTCCTTGCCAGAAAGGTCTTGGTGAATATTGACCCTTCGGAGGCAAAGTTTGATACGGGAGTGCCAGAACATATTGATGAAAATTAAGGCTCCCAGCAGCTGAAACAAATTGTGCTAACATATATTACTGGGTACGTCAGGGTATTTATTCAGAGTCAGCTAGGGCTACATTTTTTGAAAATTGTGATGAAAATCACCTTGTTTTCAGCCACCATTGGTTCTAATTTCTCTTTCTTCAGCCTTCCGGATCCTCCACCAATACCATGTCTCAACCTGCCAACACTGTTCCAAAATGTATGAATACTCGAGCTAAAAATGCAACTCAGCATCCAGGATATATCCTGACTGGAGGTGAAGGTCACATAAAGAGATGTACCAAAGCTCAAAAAGCTGCTGACGACCAGCATGAAAAGGAGGCAAAGGAAGCAAGTGAAATGGCTGTACAAGAAGGATATAAGTGCATTGCTGTATTTCAGAAAAAAATGCAGACAGACCAGGCAAATACCTGTGCTGATGCACCGAAGCCTACTCATCCCTGCCCACGCCCATGCCCCGTCAAAAAGGCTGTGAAAGACGTGGAGACCTCCAACTTGACTATGGCTGAGGATAAGGCCATGGATGCCAATGGCAAGGGTGGTACAGTTGGAGGTAACTTAGCAGCTAGTGCTAATGTCGAACATCCTGAGAGTGATGCAGAGGAGGAGGAAAAGAAACAGGTGCCAGTGGCACATTACAAGAATGGGAAGAAAGTGTTACCAGTGAAGATGCCAGTGAGAGATGCGATTGAAGCAGTGGATGCTGACATCCTTATCGAATCAACAGTCTTGGTTCTCCAGGACATCTGGGAATGCACGAAGGATATCGCTGCAAAGAGGCGTGGTGTGGCCCTCACTCTGGACGAGGATTCTGAGGATGAGCGTGCGCTTATCTTCGATATTTGGTACTGTCCTTTTTGCTGTTTTCTAGCATCTCGTGACTGATATTTTTGGTGCTTTTGTAGAGTCAGATACTACTAGTATACCCACCTGCATCTCTGCCGAGTCGCTGCCACTACCGGCATGTACTACTACTCATCGTGTTATTCGCTTTATTATGCATGTTTGAGGTGTCTTTTTCGCTACTTACTAGCACTTTCATATTGCTTTCCCTCCTTTTTTTCTCCCTTAATCTACTTATCACTTGAAATGCAATGTTTTGTGGTCATTTTCATCTCAACAGGTGTGAAATAAGTGTGAAAATAAGTCACAATAAGTATTACCACAAGTTGCAGTGTAGGAATAAGTGTAAGGTTATTGTCAAAAAAAGTCAAAATAAGGTTGGAAAAAGTCAATGTCAAGAGGAGGCACCTACTTTTTTGACTTAAAATTGTCTTGCGGCAAGTTCATGGCAAGTTGGTGTCACCACTCTTATGCTTGGCTTTGCCATTCCTTTTCGGGAATTACCCAGCGGCAAGTTGCAAAAAAGGAAGGTCAAGAAATGTGTGAATTTACTGATGTTAGTATACAAATGATATTGTGTAAGGCTGTCAGCAGCTCTAGATTCTTAGTTCAGAACTGATGTAATGGACAGGCACATGGTTTGGGAACAAGGTGAACATGGGCGCGATATGCATGGGATGTGCTCTGGCACCACACCCTGGCAGGTGTATCAATACTTACTGGCCATAGTAACAAGTCATGAATGCATACTTCTTGGTGCTGGCCAGTGGCTTCTTGTATTAATACTCTCCCTGAAAACCTCCCTCATGGTACCTTGTATTAATACACTCCCTGTAGTACTAGCCTCATACTCTCCTGGGTACTCATCTCCAGTGTGCCCCACAATGTGCGCTGACTAAGATTGTTGTATGCTTCCAATCAGATCTGTCAGATCTCCAGTAGATTGCCTTCTGTCTGTCCCTTCTTGGCCATCAGGCTTCATGGTCCATGTCCCTGGTAGATCTCGTATCTTTAAACCACATGTTTTTTCATGTCTATAGATGGAAATAACAGAGATAATAAGAATTTGTTTTTTTGCCAGCTAAAAGGCATGAATGCACACGTTCTCTCGGTCAGGACCGCTGCTAGTGAAAAAGACAAGTCTAATGCAATACAAGAACTATACGAAAAACAAACACATCAGTAAACCACAAATTTCGTCACAGACATCAACATTTTCGACAGTTCCCACAGTAACCCACAGTGCTCACAGCACTCACAGCAAACTTCTCCCAGGCATCAACGTTTCAACAACATTGGAAATATTCCAAGTCCAACCTTTGTATATGTTTGTTCAGGTGACGGTGCGCTCATTGGCACGAAAGTTCAACTCGTTGACAATGTTCTCCGCCTCCATGAAGCGTGTTTTAATTTCAGGCACACATGATTTTTTATTCTAATCTTGTTCTTTATATTCAACAAACTACTCTAGGATGATCTCTTGCTTGCTTATTGAGGTGCGCAATGATTTTTTTTTTGTTCTAATCTTGTTCTTTAGATTCATTCTCTCACCCGCTGCTCTCACTCACTGCTCTCCCTCGCTCATTGCCCTCACTTGCTCTCACTCTTGCTTGCTCATGATGCGATGACAATGATGACGACAACGCGACAATGACGGCGACACAAAAACAACAGCAACAACAACACGATGCCGACAACAACAATGCAACAACAATGATGACGACAACACGATGACGATGATGATGACGGCGACGCGACAATGACAACAACAACAACAACAACACGATGACGACGACAACGATGCGACGATGATAATGACGATGTGACGATGACGACGCAACAATGACGACAACGACAACACAATGACGACAACGACGATGCAACAATGACAATGATGACCACAATGCAACGACACAACAACAACGACACAACAACAGCGACAACAACACAACAATGACAACAACACAATGACAATGACAACGACGCGGCGATGACGACGACTACACAACAACAATGACACAATTGATGTCCCGTAGTTTGTACTTGATGTCTAGAATAGTAGTTTCTCATTTTGCAATGCATTTGTTTTCATTTACTTTTACATGTGTCTTGAGTCGCCAAAAAAGTGATTTCTAATGTATTCTGTGTAACTAGAGGACTACTGTGGAGCTCTGTACAGAGCTGTACAGAGATTTACAGAGATGGGCCTGTCTGTACAGAAGGGACCAAGCTGTGGCACTGTGACACTGTACAGCTCTGTACAGCTCTGCACAGAACATGGTGATTTACTAATGCATGAGAGCACTGAAAAACATATTACATCATATAGGATGTTGTTGATTGAGCAAGCAGGTCAGGAACTACATTCCACAGAGAAAGACAATGGGTGCACATTGAACGTCAGATATTAGCTTGCCATGAAGCATATGTGAAGAGAGCCTCGTTTTCTGTCATTGCAAAATCAGCTCTGGCAACTGCACGTTTGTCCCACCACCTTGCTTGCCAATCAAAATAGGCAAGTACATACTAGTTATGTCACAGCTTGGCTTGGCCGGGCTTGGACTCAGCTTTTACTGGCTACACTTGCCATTTGGCAAAACTCGTCAGTTGAACCACATTGTGCAGTTTGGTTCGACTTACAAGCTGCACGAACTGGCTACGAGCCATTAATTAAGAAATGTCGACTCAAGCCGGCTCAAATTGACTGCAGTCGGCTCTAGTCACATGGAAACCACTCTGCTGAATTCTCACTGTAAGTCTGCAACATTTAGCTGTCGCATAGCATGAGTAAGGCTCCATTACGCATTGATGGTAGATTCAGGCTGGAAATATTTTGGGATCAGGTTCATATGGTGTGTTTGTATGACATCAACAGTCAATTGATTGATATTCAGGGTTTCAAATATACACTAGCTGTCATCTACCACACACAAAACTTCCTTAACAATGATATCATTGCCATCAAACTTGAACTAGCCAGCAATAATCCACCTTCTCTCGAGCACGAACACTGCATTCTCAAGCAACTCGAAGGTGGAGTTGGGATCCCCTGCATTCTTTGGTTTGGCAGGGAGTCAACACACTATGCCTTGGCTCTTGACCTCCTTGGTCACTTGCTGCATGATCTTTTCCTCACGTGCAACTGAAAATTCAGACTTCAAACTGTTGTAAACTTAGGGGACCAGCTGGTACTTTGGTTCAAATGTGTTGTGCTGTAGATACTGACCAATTTTCCAGCTGTCGTGCCTGGAGTACATTCACTCACATGGTTATGTTCATGGTGATGTCAAACCGCAAAACACTATGATAGATATTTCGGAAAAAACTGTCTATATTATTGATTTTGGTATCGCGAAGAGATACTGGAATTCCTCAACCACATCCCACATCCCATTTTGTCGAGGTTGACGTCTCACAGGCACCCCTGCCTTCGCTTCAATCAACAATCACTTGGGATTGGAGCCAGGTCGCCATGACGATCTTGAATCACTTGCCTATATGCTGATATATTTCTTGTGTGGCTCCCTACCATGGTTAAATAGTGACCATGAGAAGCTTTCTGACTCCTTTATACTCAAGCGCAAAGTAGATACCACCATTGCGGATTTATGTGAGGGAATTCCTCCTGCATTTGCAAATATCCTCGTCTACTCGCGCTCTCTCTCATTCTCAGAAGATCCCGATTATGACTATCTATTAATCATTATGTATTGCTATTAACTATTGTGTTTAGACCCTGCAGTGCCAAGGTGATTCTGCACCATTGTGCACAGCAGTGTTTATCTGGGGTTCCCAGGATGAAGATATATATGTTATGTATGGGTAAGTCTCTTGTTACATCTCCAGCACTACTACTACTAAATGACCTGTCGTGGACATCGTTGACAGAATGCTCAAATCCCCCAGGTTGAAGCTGCACCTGCACCTATCTCTCCTGCTCTTGTTGCTCCCACACCTATTGTTCCTGCTCTTACTCCTGTTGCTACTGCTCCTACTCCTGTTGCTCCCGCTCCTGTGCCTCACGCTCCTGCTCCCACTGCAGCTGCTGTGATTACTACTGTGCTTCACCGCCCAAGGAGACAATGACAGCTGCCTCAGAGATATAGGCAGGATGACGCAGCTGCCCATCTGGATGATGGCAAGTGGATTGACATCAACAATGTTGGCAGCAGTGAAGACGACGACCCACCTCAAGTTGTAGCTGCCATGCACACACAGGGCCCAAGCCCACTACAGATGACAACTCAGACGACAACCAGCACTCTCTACACCAATCCTTTTGCCACGAGAAAAAGAGGCCTCAAGACTACTTCTGATATCCAGTTCTTCTTTAGGAAGAACTCAGACACCAGCGAGCGCATTTGTGTACCATGCGAGTGAGTAACATGTCTGGGAGTCTCTTCTACTCCTCTCACCCCTTTACCAGGGATTCAAATAAGATACACTTATCCTATCCCCTCGCCATCTACGGTCTGTCCACGAGCAATACCCCTCTCCATTCAAACATCCATAAAGTTCATATCGACCTTTACCTCGAGGAATCCCAGAAGCAGCAATGGCCAATTGGCATCCATCCTGTAAGTGACCGCCTTAATAAAGGCTGGACCTTCAGCAAGATGCGGAAACAACTTAAAAATCCCACTTGCATGATCAAGTCACTTGGCCCTCCCCCCAATCCCAGGCGTGGCGGTTCAAGGCCCGGTGTTGGGAAGTCAGCATCTTCGGATTATGACTTATCAGACTTCTCTATCAATGAGATGGATTGACAGATCATGAAGTTTATTGTAGCTGACGACCAAGTAAATACTGCTCATTTTTTATGTGTTTTCGCTAACCATCGTCTCTAGGCAATCAGTGTCATCGAATGTCCAGAGTTTCGTCAACTGCTCTGCCTCTTGCAGTAAGACATAAAGGATTCTGATATCCCCCATTATTCAAAGCTTCAGCAACTAATCATCAATGTGTGGGATAAATACTTTGCAGCCATCAAACTTGACCTCACTGTGAGTGTTTAACTATCTATTGCATACAGTATTTTCATA